GGGGAGAAAAGGGAAGCCATAGGTATCAGAGGAGTTCTAGTTCTGGATCAGATGACTATGCCTATACACAAGGTAATTTTCACCCTTTTATGAAATTTGATCTTTGTGGGGAGGCAGCAATCTCCTGTTCAAAACAAAATAGTTTAGTTTAATTAAATATTTAGTATTTATTAAATATTGGGCAATAGCATTACTATTAAGAATAGGGTTAGTGCTTCAGAGTCATCTATAGACTTTGTTTAAAATATGAAAATGTAGGGCCAGCTCCAGTGACCTAGTGGTTAAGTTTGGTGAGCTCCACTTCGGCAGCCCAGGTTTGGTTCCCGGGCATGGACCCACACCACGCGTCTGTCAGTGGCCATGCCATGACGGCAGCTCACATGCAAAAGAGGAAGATTGGCAGCAGATGTTAGCTCAGGGTGAATCTTCCTCAGCAAAAAAAAAAAAAAGAGAAAAAAGAAAATGTAGACATGATAATAGTGATGTAATAAGCCTTTGTTTTAGGAAGAACATTGGGAGAAAAATATAGACAAGTGAAGTTGATAGTGTCAAAAATACAAACTACAGAATGGGAAAAAGGATTCATAGAGGGTGGACTAGTGTTCACTAGGTGAAAGAATTTGAATCTTTTCTAAAGAAGATCTCCTGAAGGGTCTAATGATATTTATAAGTAATGTATATTTAAGAGAAGCGGGATTAGTAATGAAAAACATTGTTGGATTAGTTAATAGTGGGCCTAACTAAATGTAAAGGAGAATAGAGTATGTTAGAAGTTTATCTATTTCAAGATACCTGAGAATTTACCTTATATACCTTTCAGTATATAAGAAGGGAAGTAGTTATGATTGTAATTCACTATGTGTGGTATTGAGCCTGTTTAAAACACACACAGCTATAGTTAAAGAGATTCTTAGGGAAACTAGGGAAAGAGGGATGTAGAGGTGGTGTCATTTTGGCAGTAGTTACAAGAGCTAAATTAAAGCAGATATGGAGGGAGAGTAGTATTAGAAAGACATGAGAATAAATGCCAACTCAAATTGGATGACAGGGTTCCTTATGGGTATTTTATACATTAGCAGTGCATATAAAAATTTCCTGGTCACTTGTTCATTGTTATTCTCTGCAATGACTTTATCTGTAATGCTATAGCCTTGCTGTTACATCAGCGAGCAAGGATGGAGAGGTTAGCAAAGCAATTGAAACTTGAGAAAGAGGAGCTAGAGCGGTTGAAGGCTGAAGTGAACGGTATGGAGCATGACTTGATGCAGAGACGGCTCAGAAGGGTCAGCTGCAGCACTGCGACCCCAACGGTAAGTGACCTGTTGGGATGTATGGATAGGAAGGTGGGCGCTTTGGCTGTCTAGGCCGCTTGTTTTTCCTTTAGGTTCTCTTCCTTGGCAGAGTTTTGTTTCTGTTTTCTAAACAATAGATGAAGGACTTTGCCTTCAGTAGTTCTCAAATTTGATAATTTGACATAATTTGATGCTTTATTTTTTTCACATGTATAAATTCCATAGGCTCATCAGAATTTTCAAATACTGACCATTACAATCAGGGTATAGCATCTCATTTACCATAAATTGCTTTCTGTCAAAATAGAAATGAAAAGTGCACTGTGACCACATATTTTGTAAATAGTTCTTATGTGTTCATTTATTCTTCTAAGCAAAAATATGTTATTTTTCTAAGTACATTAATTCAAACGAGTTAGAATGAGATCAGTTTGAATTTGGGGAAAGTGTTGACTCTAGACTATTTTAAGGCAGAGCAATTTTGTTAGGTGTGAATAGCTGTAGAAACTAAGACGACAGTATTGCCGGTGGTCCTAACAGGAACTGCTCTCATGAAAGGATTCAGATAATATCTATTTAACATGTTATTAATATTTATGAATTCTTAACATCGTAAACAAGTCTGAACATTTTGAAACCAGTCTTCTAAAATCTTGTGACATCACAAGCTTTCTATGATCCAACATGTCATTTCACCTTGTCACATTCATCCATTCAACAAGCATATTTTTAGTTTATGAATGTGGTCCTATGCTAGGTACTTAGTGCATACCTGCTAGTGGGAGAAATAGATCCATCAACAGATAACTATACTACAGTGGTAAGTGCCATGTATGCTCACGGGTCATGAGAGAACTCATACATCAACTAGTTTCTGTATATACTTGACACACTTCTCCACTCTCTCACATTATCCTCCAGTTGGAATGCCCTTCTAAAGCTCTGCATGTATAAATACTATCTGTTCTTCAGGGCTCGCCTTAACCTCTGCTTTTTCCACAGAGCCATTCCTTATTTTTCTACCTTCTCTAAATGGAGAGTAATCTCTCAGAGTTTGCAAGTTTAGAGAAGTGGGCAGGTATGTCAGGCCTCTTGGAAGACAGCATGTCTGCAGCTCTGCCCTCATAGAGCAGTTTTTAACTGAGGTTTGTGGCTTCAAAGGAGATCTGTAAATACCTGAAATTATGTGCAGAGTTTCACATGTGTGTTGATATGGAAGCGGGTCTGTAGCTTTCATCTGATTTTTATAAGGTTATTAGGTTGAAGGGAAAAACAGTGAGGAACCAGTGCCCTCAGTGGTATAATATTGCTATATAGGTAGTGAGCAAAGGGGAAGGCAATTTAGAAGGGGAAAGAACAGGAGGTAACGAAGGCTTGAGGGCAAGACGGAGACTGACTTTAGGGAGGCAGTGAATACAGTTCTCACTTCAGCTGAGATTTCTGATGTCGTAACAAGTTAATGGGCATAGGTGGAGTGGGGCTTAGACCCTAAGCTTGAGGTGTTTGAACTTGATTCTGCTGGTAATAGGGAACCAGTGGAAGTTTTTGAGGAGGAGATAATTGAGAAATAGGCATATTTAATATTTTAATGAAATTTTTTCTAATATTGACTAAATTCCTAAGTATAGTCAGTATTAAGAGTAAGAAGGGAGGGTTTTACTTAAAACACTTGGAAAATTACAAAGCTATCTTTAAGTGAAAGGTAGTATTAGTGTAAATCAAATTTCTACCTCATTTTTTCCTCACTTGAAATCTTAACTGAACCCCCTGATTGGGGGCGATGCTGAAGAGCGTAACCTATGTGGGAATCCACCTATGGTTGTTGGGCACTTTGGAGCCCTTTAGGTACTTGTAGAGCATAAACAAATTCTTTGTAGCATGGAAGTCATTGTCTCTAAAATAGTCCTATAAGCTTTGTCTAGGAAGCTCTTGCTGTGTGATAATCCCTGCTCAATAAAGCCCTGTTGACTTTTTGTTGTTGGAAGTGGAGAGCTGTCTAATGTAGTATAGGTTAGTGCTACTTCAAAACAACAGATTTTAGATGAGAGCTTATATTGATAAGACTTCCTTAGAAAAAGAGGGAAGTTGGTGAAACTGCTGCCCTGGGCTGTAACTTTATTTTTAACTTTTTATTGTAGAGCATTTCAAAGATATATAAAATAGGCAGAAAAGTATAGTGAACCCCCCCCCCCCACCATAGCCATCACCCAGCTTCAGAAATTGGTAGCTCATTTGGGTGATAATATTTGAGAGATGAGAAATTTGAGTGTGTGATTCCCATGTGTTTCTGCTGCCAGGCCTAAAGTAAAATGCAAGACTATTAGGAGTGCATGGCTGAGGGACAATTATATGTGGTGGTTAAGACAGTGAGCTTCCAATTCAGGTGTGAATTTGAAACCTACTTCTGCTACTTATGTGTCACTCATATCTTTGGATAAGTAACTTTCTCTGTGCTTGTTTTCTTATCTACAATATGTGTGAGTACCCATCTCATGGATTTTTGTTAGGATTAAATAAGATAATATACATTAAACAGTTTATACAATGCCCAACAAATAGTAAGTCTTCTTGTAAAATAAATGTTGAAAAATCTACTTGAGATATCTATATGTACACAAATCGGAAGCATTTTGCAAAACTTTGATTTCCTTTTAACTTTAGGACCATGTATAAGCATGAGAGTATATTATGTAGGAAATTAATCAAGAAATAAATACTTTGTTAGAATTTTTTTTTTCTTCATGGGCTCATTTGAGGCACAATGACATAGTTGCAAGCTTCCATATAGGCTGTGGAGCCAGAACAGCTCTGGTACTTGCTGGCTATATCTAACTTCTCTGCATTTGATTTCCCTTATCTGTAAGAGGGCATTATAACAAGTACATTTTAATCTTGTCAAATAAAGAGACATTGTATGTAAAGTACCTTAAGTGGAGTAGGTGCTCAGTAAATGGCTATCCTTATCATTGTCCCACTCATGTAGGATTACGCAATAGAGAATTGACTTTTTTTACTTTCAAGTTTTCAAACTAATTTCTTATCAAGCAGTGTATAAAAAAATTGGTTAGAAATGTGTGTGCCTGGTGAGACTGGAAAGCACATTTGAGACCAGTTACATATGCAGTTGCAGAAACTTAGAGGGATTTAAAATAATCTTTCTAAGAAGGGCAGAAGTGCGAGATGCATGAGGGCCATCATTTTCTCAATCTGCTATTTGCAAAGCATTGTATTAGATGCTGTGGAAGATGTCATCTCTTAAAGAGATCTGTATGTGACACGATATGCATTTGTGTGTGTGAGAGAGAGAGAGAAGATAACATAAGACAGTAAATCAGAAGTGCTGGCCAGCTCAGTGGCAGTGATATGAAGTAGTTTCAGAGTTCTGAGGTAGAAATGTTAGCTTTTTGCTAGTAGGGGTCAAAGATGAGACAGTTTCCTGGAGGAGGGGAATTTAAGTTATACCTTGCAGGGTAAATAAGATTTTAATAAGTAGAGAGCTGCCGACTACCCCTCCCCCAAGTCCGTCTCCCCGCCCCTCCCCCCCAATCCTGTTCTGATTTGATTTTCGGACTAACCCACAGCTTTGAGTCCCCAGCTGCACGATTGGGGCCAAGCCACCAAAGAATATCACTGGTCTTACCTTGGTCTCTGTGAGACAACTTCTTAAAGTGCTGAAACAGTTGACTTAATAAGGTATTTCTGGTCGCCTTTTGAAAAAAGCTTAGAATTTTTTACTTTGAGATGTTAGATATAAACATCCTGGTATTTTACAAACAACTCTAAATTACACACAGTGAATCTTGAAACCCCTCCTCCATGAAAATACAGCATATTTTTTGACAAATGAAACAGCTTTTTCCCCCCAAATTTAATCAGAAGCTATGAAAAGGGACATAGGAATCATCAAACTGTCAGTTTGGTGAGTTCCAGTGCTTCTACTGTCTTTGGAAGTGAGCCTGTTGACCGGAGCTGTTTTTGTTGTTGTTATAAGCAAATGTGCAGTAGCCTCTTGACTATAAAGTGTATTATAGTATTTCCATACTTAGTTACAGAGCTTTACTATTTGGGACCACCATGGCTGCAACATCCCCCCATCCCCAAAATAAAATAGGAAGGATCAGCTCCTTCAAGTAGTTGACTTCCCAGTATGATTCTACAAAGAAAATAGCTTCTTTCACAAATTCCTAGGAAGACAGCATCACTCTTTGAAACCCCTGAACAAGTGTTTAATCTTTACTATAAATGCTCAGGTATGTTTTAAACTCATTTAATATTGCCTGATAGACAAGCTGTAAACATGTAAACATTTTACATGTTAATGTCACATAAGGTTTGCCCATAGGAAGGAGAAAAGAAAAGCAATCCCTAATATTTCTAAATGCCTTCTGTGTTCCTCTAGCATTTTAAGGGATTATGGCCCTTATTATATGCTGCCCGTTCTTTCACTTATTGTAAACTTTTGATAGCTTTTAATTTACTGGGCATTCCCACCTATTCCGATGACACCTCCTAACACAGCATAAGATCTTGCGTTACTGTGAATTAAGATAGCCCCTTTTGCTCATTTTTCTTCACTCTTAATATATTTGGTTTTTAGCAGAATACATCTTTTTAACAGAAGAGGATTTTATTCTGTCTTCCTATCATAGCAGATATTTATCTTTTACTTTATATAGTTGAAATCACTTCAGTAACTGAGTTACCACCTGGCTGTGCTGAAGGCTTCATTACCCATGCTTCTGGAGTCTAAACCCTAACTTTATTTTTTACTATATATATATGTATATGTAAATAGTAAAGAAAGTCAGAATGTCAGGGGAAATAAAGGCTTCCAAAAAGCTGTATTTAACTGAAGAGTAGGGCTCTCTTCACATTTGTGTCTCATGTATGCCCTTCAAAGGCCTAGGGAGCAGGCTGGACTGGAAAGGTCAAGGCAGAAGGAAACACTGTTGGAGAAAGAATGGAATCCATTTCTTCCTGAAATTTTCATGTGCTACGTTAATTGCTTCCTTCGATCTAGGAAAAAAGACAAAAAGATTTCTTATATAAATTTATATAGAAGACTTCTGTGTAAGTTCTAGCTTTACCAATTACTAGCTTTTATAACTTTGGGAAAATCATATAACCTCATTGTGCCTTAGTTTCCTCATCTATAAATTGGGAGTTATATTAGTATTTACCTTGAAAGATTGTTTTAAGAGTGAGAGAATTCTGGTGAACACGGTGCCTGGCACTTAGTAAGCTCTAGTTAAAATTAGTACTGTTGTAATTTTTACCAGCCTGGACAAGACTAAAATCATGGACATTGCTTGTTTAAAAGATTTATCCTTACAGTTTTCCCTTATCATGAAAACATAGACGTAAAGTATTCTCAGTGCTCTGTGATTAAAATGGGAGTATTTTGTGTGATAGAACACAGTCTAGTATTAGTCTGCCACATTTTATGCAGATTTTGTTTATATGTGGCCACACTGACGTCCCCATTATACCTGACTATTCCTTGAAAAACATAACATATAGGACTTCTTAAACATGCCCTCTTGTGGACTAAGGCCATATTCTTGATAATAACCAATCAGAACGATTAACATGAATAGCAGTTCTTAAATGTTGGGCTTGATAATGACTTTCCCACAATTGCTATTTTGGGTCCTTTCTTACTAGCCTGAGGAAATGACAAGATTGAGAAGCATGAACAGACAACTCCAGATAAATGTTGACTGTACACTGAAAGAAGTTGACCTCCTTCAATCTAGAGGTATAGACTTGATTATTTGGTAAACCATAAGTAATAGTGTGGTGTTTTAAGCTGCTTAAATAGCAATCATTTGGTTTTACAAGTTTAAGAGAGAGTTTTTATCCATTATAAGATTCCAGTCCTGGTAAAGAGATCCCTCCAACCCCATGGTCAAGAGATCAGATTTGAAGGATCAAAAAATAGTTTTACTTCGGCAATTTCATCATTAAGTTCTTATCATTAAGATTGTTCTGTGTTGTTACTCTGCGTTTATCCTCTTTTAGTCATTTACTGTGAATATTTTATAAATTGACGGGTTTTAAGTCTAAAACTTATTCGATTCATACTGTGTGATATTCATCTAAAGTATCTGTAAAAATAGGGATCCCAAATCAGAATATCAGATTTCTCAGTTTTAAAATAAATTCCATATGCCACTTTTTTATATTTTATCTATTGCATGAAAACATCCAACTCTATCTTAGAGGTTTTGTTTTATTGGATTTCTTACAGAAGTGTACTGCAGTAAGTAGAAGCTCTCTTAACTGACTTTCATTTACCCAGCTTACTAGGTTAGAGATGTTCTTCATTTCCTTTGTAAAATAGAAACTGACCGAGTCCACAGCCACTGCATCCTCCTGACTAGGAGGCTGTGTTCTGGCATGGCCATGTGCTTTTGCCCATCAGTTGGATTGTCTACTTAGCAATAGTCAGTTGTGCCTCTTCCCCAAACGTGTCTATGCCAATTACTGTACTTCTGTAATTTAATTTAATGTCTCTTAAACTGACATGAATGCAGGAGAAGCTTTTTCTATAAAAACCAAATGCTTTTTAAAGACTCAAAGGCAACTCACTAAGAAAAATAGGGACTGTGCATTAGATATGGGTGAAAACAACTGAAAAGGGTTAAGGAGGAAAATCATAAAAATCTCTCTCAGAGGATTCTATCCTCAAATTAAAGTATCTTTCTTATTCCATTCTAAAGAAATCAAAACAGGAAAGTACAGATCAGGGTTAAGCAAGTTAGCCTGCTGCCTGTTTTTGTAAATAAAGCTATAGTGGAGCCTAGCCATGCCAGTTTGTTCGCCTATTGTCTGGGCCGCTTTTATGCTTCAGCAGCACAGTTGAGGGCTTGCAACAGAGGCTGCATTACAGGTCCACAAAGCCGAAAATGTTTGCTATCTGGCCCTTTACAGAAAAAGTTTGCCCACCCCCACTTTAGGTCATCATAGGTATAGTTTAGGTAAGAAAGACGATAAAGAACTTGAGTCAATAGACGTAAAGGAAAGATCTTGGTCCAACATTAAAATATTGCTATGTTTATATATTTTGTTATATTAAAGTTGACATGTGATTTTTCTTAACAATTTTGTGTTTTAATTAGCCCCCCCCCCCACCATGGCAGCTAAGAGAGCTTCTACTGTACGTTAAGAGTATACAATAAAGTACCCCATTGCCATTTTTAGGCAAGACTAAACAGTAGAAGCAAGACAACCCGAAAAATAAGGAACTGTGTGAACAATAGGCAGAAGCAAATTTGAATGTGAAAGTTGAGCAATCTAGTCAGGTACCCTTAAAGTTATTTTCAGAAGCCTAGTCACTCTACTGCCTACTAGTTTTAAGCAATGAAAGAATTAGTATGCATAATGTGGGGGTTATACAAACTATGGCTACTATATTAGAAGATTTCATCAATTTTTTTTTTTTTTTTTTTTTTGCTGTGTGTTCTTTGAAGCAAAGAAAGAAACACTCAAACATTTGGTTAGGCTAATTATAGTAAGCCTTATGGGATCTAGAAATTAGAACATCAGCTGTAACTTAAGTAATTGAAGAAATATATATGCAGCATCTTAAAGTATAAAAAGACCCAATTAATATAGCATTGTGGCTTTCATGAGCCATCATAGGAATTATTTTCAGAACTATCTTAAAATAGCGTATCCAAATGGATAAAAGCATTTGTAATAAATAGTTCCTGCCGGGGAAACCACTACTAAGGTTTTATAAGCGAAGAGCTGTGTTTTTGGTCTCCATTGGGCAGCGAAGAGCTCTTTTTGGTGCTTAAGCATTTCTAAATCTCCTTTCATAAAGGGTCCAAATATATCCATTTTACACTAAACTCTACTCTTTCGTGTTCTGGAAAAATTTTATTCTGAGTTTCCAATCTAAACTTTTAAGTGAGAGAAGGAACCTGGACATTTTTTTGGGAAATTTAGACTAGATGCAAATCAGTGAATGATTTGATGAAGAGCATCTTTATTGTTGGTTTTGGTGAGGAAAACTTTTGTTGGGAAAAAAATTAGGTCTAGAAATAAAGAGATCCAATATATTTGAACTACCAGTACCATATAGCATCTTCTGTAAGTAAGCAAAAGTACAGTTATAAAGCTTAATTAGAATTGTGCAGAACAAGCAGATTGCAGTGTTAGGTTCACAGCAAAGCTGCCACTGGATCCGAAGTGACCTTGGAGGACTCATGGCAGGAGATGCGGCTGAAAATAGACATAGAGATCAGAGAGTGAACATTTTGAGAGAGGTGAAAATTTTGTGGCAAGACAAAATTCTCAGGGATTGTTCTCTTATTCTGAAATTGGCGCCATGTCATCTTTTATCATTGAGAAATCTGTAAGCAACATTTAAGTTTTTCTTGGATAGGAATCCATGAGCTACTGCTATCGTGCAACTTGATTAATCTTTGTAAATTTATATATTTGGCTTCTTCCCCAGTTGAATTTATAATGGATAAAATTTTAAGGTAAATTATGAAAGACATGAAAGTGAACTTTCAATATTTAAATTTTTTCATTGTTCATTAAAATTTTTTAAAAAAGGCGAAAACAGTTCAGCCATCCTTTCATTTCTCTTCTTCATTTCCCTCCCTAAATGCGCCACATGCTTAATCCTGCCTAAGGACACTTAGCTTTACAGTCAGAAAAATATTCCTTTGGGTGACAGATTTTAGACAGGACACTGGTGTGGTAGTTTGCTTGGATCTTTTCTCACAAATTTCAGTGGGAGGAGGGTAAGATGATATAATGAGTTTTAAAACCCTGGAAAACAGTTTCCCCTCTTAGATAAATAACAAAAAATTCAATAGCAGGAGAAAGAGTCCTAAATGCCTGGTGATTTTATTTTCTTTACAGGAAACTTTGATCCAAAAGCCATGAATAATTTTTATGACAACATAGAACCTGGCCCAGTTGTACCACCCAAGCCATCTAAAAAAGGTGAGTAGGGAAATGTCACAAACATCATAGAAGTAAATATTAAAATTTAAAAGTCTTACGTTAGAATGGAAAGTTTGATCTGCAGTAAATCTAAGATTATTTAATTGACAGGCCACGAAAGAATCCTTGTGTTCTCAACAGGGAGCATAACAATTAGATAGGGACTAGGTGTTTTTTCACCAAAAACAAAATACATCCTGGGGCTAGCCCGGTGGTGCAGCGGTTCGGATCCCAGGTGCGGGCATGGCATTGCTTGGCATGCCATGCTGTGCAGTAGGCGTCCCACATATAAAGTAGAGGAAGATGGGCACAGATGTTAGCTCAGGGCCAGGCTTCCTCAGCAAAAAGAGGAGGATTGGCGGCAGATGTTAGCTCAGGGCTAATCTTCCTCAAAAAAAAAATAAAAAATAAAAATAAAAATAAATCCTACATAACCAAGATTTGGAAGAATCACATTTCTATGTAATATTAAAGGCATCAAACCTGTTCTCATTTTTATGTACCAGATGTTCAATTGGCATTTCAGTGTGTTAAAAAATTAATTTGAATTAAATTTAAATGTTGTCATTGAATTTAGATAAACTTCTGCCCCCTTATTATAATAATGGCCCATGTTTTTATAAATTCTCAAGACTGAGCTAGGGGCTGGCCCCGTGACCGAGTGGTTAAGTTCACACGCTCCGCTGCAGGCGGCCCAGTGTTTCATTGGTTCAAATCCTGGGCGCAGACATGGCCCTGCTCATCAAACCACGCTGAGGCAGCGTCCCACATGCCACAACTAGAAGGACCCACAACGAAGAATATACAACTATGTACTGGAGGGGCTTTGGGGAGAAAAAGGAAAAAATAAAATCTTTAAAAAAAAAAAAAAGACTGAGCTAAAGTATATGCATTTCATATCTTAATCCTTTTTGCTTTAAGCAAGATAGATTGATCATGAAGATAGAATAGTGGAGAATGCCTTACTTAAAAAAAAAATTACCTAAGGATGTAACATTTTAAAATCTCATCAGACATTTTTAATCAGAGAATGTATAAACTCTATCTAAATA